TGTGTATGCTTAATTTAACCATCATTGTGGATTCGGGACGTCATTTCCTCAATCAACTGAAAAATGACAGTTTAAGTGTTAACATTTCTGAGGCGTTGTATCAGAAACTGAGGAATGGATTTTGCTGCTCTAGCTCTGCTTGGGGTTTGTGGAGGGGTTAGCTCCATCTCTTGCATAACTGTTAGACCATTGAGAGAAAAAATGATAGCTTTCTCTAGATCTTATCTAACCATGTTTGCTCCTCTAGCTCAGCTGAGGTTTTCTGGAGGTGGTTAGCTGTATCTGTTGCATAACTATCAGACCATTGAGAGAAAAAATGATAGCTTTCTCTTGATCTTGTCTAACCATGTTCTCTTCCTCCTCTTTTTTGGTTAACATTTTATTCTCTTGTTACCATACTTTAGTATTTGAGTTTTGAATCAGCTCATGTGCACCTAAACAAGCAACACTTTTGCAACAAAATTGTGGATTGGTAGTATTAAAAAAAAAAACTTCTGTTTTCTCTCCTCACCCTTGTATTAGGTTCGTGTTGTTTTACATTTTCTCACAATCCCCCTTATTTTATGAATAATAGAAATGAGTAGTCAGAGACTCGAAGTATGTTATCTTGGCAAACTGAACTTGAAGAATCAGTAGAACCACTTGCAGTGTGCAAAATTGAAGATTCAAATGATAGATTGCTACAATTTGTACAGGTAGTTGATGCATATGCTTTAATTGGAGATATCTCTGGTCTTGCTGAAAAGTTGCAAAGCTTCTATATGCAGGAAGTTTTATCAGAAACCCACTCTGTGTTGAAGAATACTGTGCAGGAGGTACATACAACCAATTACTCCCTCTGTTCCAAAGAAATTGTCTGCCTTTATATTTTTGTTTGTCCCAAAATGATTGTTTGGTCGAAATATTAAGTCACATATTTTCCTACAGTGCTCCTAATCAAAGCTCATTTTACAGGAGACCTACTACAATTGGAAAGGGGGTCTTTAGAAATTATGGATAAAATTATTGATATGGAATATCAATTAATAACATTATTAATATGTGTGAAAAGTCGAATATGACAATTTCTCTGGGTCAGATGGAGCATGATTTTATAAGTGAAATTAGTTTCAGATAATCAGTAGTGGGCAAGATATAGATAGCCCAGTTATGAATTTCAAGTCCAAAATCTCTCTCTGCACCTACATGCATATTGATGCATGCGTTGAGGTTGTTTAAAATCTCAACTTCTTCAAAGGGTTTTCCCCTTCAAAATTTCTTTCCTTTCATAGTCCTCCATGGAAATTAATGTCAACTATCTTCATAAGGTAATCTTTACTCAGTTAACTGATTAACTTATGCAGGATCTGGAAATACAGATGCAGAACAGTAGGTACTTTCTTTTCACTTTAACTGTTTCTGTATTGAATCCATCATAACTCAATTATTTTTATATGTTACATAATATTTTTGTGCATTTCATTCCAGACTTACCTACAGCGATCTAAGCCTTCAGATACCTGAATCTAAGTTCAGGCAGTGTTTGTTGAGAACATTAGCAGTCTTATTCAGGTTGATTAGTTCCTATCATGAAATAATGAACTTCCGGCTGGAGCACAAGGTCAGACTATATTCTTTATATGCCCAGTTTAATTTAATTTTTTTTCCTTTTCTTTACTTTTATGGGATGTTTTCAGTCCTCTCCACAACAAGGTCAGGGCTTGCAAACATTGATGGTTAAATTGAGTATCCTAAAGCTTTCTTTCCCTTTCTATCCTTTATCCATTTTTTTGTTTGTAAACTTTGGATGGTTGCTTAAATATGTTTCTAAACTAGAAGTGTAACGGTTGTTGATTGTCACTTAATTTAATGGATCATATTGGACTGTTAATCATTTGTGCGTTGTTTCTGCATCTAGTGCCTTCTTTTTTAGTTTTTTTTATAGTAATAGTAAATTTTGGTTTTGTTTTCTCATTTTGACTACACATTTTATGGAGACATTATTACCAATCGTAGATGAGGCGCATTAATTCCGGAAAACCTAGAATTCTTACATGAAATGAAGCTAAACAATTTAAATGTAGATCTTTTACAACAACCTTTAGCCTCTTAAACCTTTTTTTTTCCTGTTAATCGAAATCACGGGGATAATAAAAGCAGTGTGAGCTGGAAAGCTTCCATGATTACCAGAGACAAGTTTTTCCACCCTTGAATCTATTTTAGTCAGAAGGTATTTTTTGTATTTCTTATGTAGTGTTATAAATAACATTGGTTCTGCAATGTCAGTTGTTTCTTCTGTTCACGTGTTTGTTTCTCTCATTTATCCTCAAAACTTGTTCATTGGTTTTCAGGATTTGGCATACCAAACATCTGACATGAAGCAGGATTCCTTAGGAAGCAATGGATCTCCCCGTGAATCTTTAGATAGAATGCTTGATTCATCTCCTACCGAGGAATCTACAACAACTTACATGTATTTAGATTCCAATTTTGATGCAGATGAAACTAGAAGTAATGGCAGTGAAGCATCAAGAAGTGGATCTCCTTGGTATCATCTGCGAAAAGATGCAACAGCATTTGTTTCACAAACTCTTCAGCGAGGGCGAAAGAATCTTTGGCAGCTTACAACAAGCCGAGTATCAGTGTTGCTTTCTTCTGCAGCTATTAGCTCTATGAGCACACACCAATTCTTGAAAAATTACGAAGATTTGAATGTATTCATCTTGGCCGGGGAAGCCTTCTGTGGAGTTGAAGCAGTTGAGTTCAGACAGAAGTTGAAGGCTGTATGCGAAAACTATTTTCTTGCATTTCATCGGCAAAATATTCATGTAAGTTGTTGCCAGGGTTAGTTTGTTTTACAATTTTAGTTTTCTTTGCTCATATCCCTGCTCTGTTAGGTGCATGATACATTTACCTTCAGAGCTTTATTACCCCCCTTTGAAGTAAAGTTTATTAGTCAATAAATTCAATTTGTTTCTTATTTATTGTCCTGTCACATTAACATAACTTGCTTTTATGTGATTCTAATAAAATTTCTTATCTAAATTCTGAATATCTAATACTTGGAAAAACAATATAATTTTTTTTTAAAACTTTTTCAGGCACTCAAAATGGTTTTGGAAAAGGAAAGTTGGCTGAAATTGCCACCAGATACAGTCCAATCAATTAGTTTTGCTGGACTTGTTGGCAATGGGGCTGCCCTGATAGTTCCATCTCACGGTATCTCTTCAAATGTAAAATTGCATCATTCTAACAAATCAGTGAATTCCATTGATGCCACTATCAAAAAGAGTGGATTTACCTCTTGGATTAAAAGTGGAAATCCATTTTCGCCAAAAATAATCTCCACTTCAGTGGAAGGCCACAGTTCATCCCTGCTTAATGGGGCAACTGCTGGTGAATATGATGGACATGCTAATGATAGTTATCACGGTGATCAGGCGTCTCCCCATAGTGGTGGTGCAAGTCATAAAAATGGAACTCCTTTTTCAGAAGATGAAAATGAAGATCTTCTTGCAGACTTCATTGATGAGGACAGTCAACTCCCAAGTCGAATTTCAAAACCAAAAGTTCCTAAAAGTAACTTTTCACATTGTAAAGATGATGAGATATCTGCACAGACAGGATCATCTCTCTGTCTTCTCAGGTGCAAAGCCATTTTGTGCTGTTAACTGATAACTATTTGTACGTGGATATTATAATCTGCAACTATACATAATTGTGCTTTATTGAGCTGTGTTTATTTGTGCATGTTAGATCAATGGACAAATATGCAAGGTTCATGCAGAAACTAGAAATAGTAAATGTTGAGTTTTTTAAGGTATGTTATACTGTCTACATTTCTTGTTTTTTTGTCTTCTATATATTTAACTTAAAAAATCTGTAGTTTTTTTTCCCCTCTAAATTGTTTTTCCTGATTCAGTATAGTTTTGCAGGGTATATGCCAGTTGTTTGAGATTTTCTTCTATTCTGTGTTTGAAACATTTGGTCAGCAGAACTCTAATTCAAATGGAAAATCTGACCCTCTCAATTGTAAGGGTTCCTTTTTTCCTCCAAAATTCCATCCTGTCCCATGTTGATCAATTCTGATATGCTCCTTCACCCCTAATCAGCTGCTACTATTTTGAACTAAGTACCCATAATTCATGTCTGTGGTACACAGATCGGCTGAAGACTGCTATATCCAGAATTACACAAGATTGTGACCAATGGATAAAGCCTCAGCTGACCCCTGTTTCATCCTCATCCCCTACGTCTTTGAGTACATATATGCATGGAGATGTAACACCGGCTAGTCCTCCAAATCATTCCACATCCTTTGGTCTCAAGGTATTTATGCAAGAATAATTTTGCAAAAGTAAATTTTTTCTTAATAGAGAAATATTTTCCAATCCATTGTGTGCCACCAACACAAGACAAGAGTGTACTTGAATTAATCAAAATTTTGTTTCTCAAAGAAATGATGATGGAGAACCATGAAAGACTTCTAAATTTAATTTCAATAATTTTTTTATTTACAGTTAATTATAAATTTTACTGTTTCGGGCCTTTTTTTTTATATATTTTCTGTCGAGTAGTTTTTATCAAAAGCATTCTGTTTCTTATTTAGTAGTGTTGGGTTTGGGTTTTCTATTTAATAATTCAATTATGGTTGTATTACATAAAAGCTTCAATTTCTTATGTTTCAAGAACCATTTTTTGATTATCAGGGGACTGACAATAAATAGATAAATAGATTGTTTTCCATCCCTATAGTTCTTCTTCAGTTGGTTTTCCCTGATGGAGATATCAAAAGAAGCAAAACTAATGTTCTTTTGTGGCACGGTTATATCTGTAACATCCTGATCCGCTGGGAAATCTGGAAAATTGTCTTAGTTTAGTTTTTGTTCGTTACGTTATATTCTACTAGTTCTAAAGTAATTACCTTTATTAGTTTTTTCCTATTCTAAATAGATAATAAGTATTTTCTTAATAGAAAATAAGTCCATGTTGGCCCTTGAGTACTATATCAACCTATATAATGGATCTTTCAATATTTTAATAACATTTGATGAATAAAATTCTAGCAATTTGCTTTTGATTGTGTGACTCAATCTCTCACCTTTTAAGAACCATCGGTGTGAAGCTTAGGTATTTCTATCCTTTAGGTGTGACTCAGAAACCTATTAGTGTGAATAGTTTCTACAATTTCCAAGAAAACCCCATCAATCTAACCTGAAAACATCTCATCAATAGACCTAAACAACCTCTCATGCATACCTAATCAACCCTATAACATTTACACGTGAAAGATTTTGCCTAAAATCTCCTAAAATTACTATTCACACCTCTATACACAACCCTGAACAGCCTTTAAAAGTCATCTCCAGAACTGCCCCTAAGTGGTCCTGCATCATCTCCTTCTGTTATCTTGTACTTTGTCTTCCTTGGTTTAGAATCACAGTTGCAATTTTGTTTGTGATCGTGGTTCATTGGTTATATTGGCATTCATGCTAGTATTAGATTCTGTTTGACCTCTGCTGTGCTGGGATAATTGATGAAACACATCAAGTTGTTTGGTAATGAATTGTTATGTTGTGTTGTTTGTAAAATCACTTAAATTAAATTACCATTAAGGACAACTAAAATTAAACATTTTCTTTCAAAAACTAAATGAATTGCTTAAGAAATGAATTCTTTTTTTAAAAAACACAAATATCATATAAAAGCAAGTTTAAAAGAAACAATAATAAAAACCTTACATGGTTTTTTTTAGTAAACATGATAGTCAAATAATTTAATTATAGCTAAAAACTAACATACTTGGAATAAAATAATTAAGATTAGTTAATTTTAATATATTTAAGGTTATTAACTTTGTAATTAATATTAGTTAATTACTATATATAAAGCAAAAATGATTTGGGTTCGTTAATTCTAAAATATTTAAGGTTATTTTAGTTTTTTAAATAAAATAATCAGCCTTACATTTCAAAATGATCACTTCGCATGCTTTTTGAAGTGGAAGCTTATATATATTTAACATGTTTTTTTTATGAAATTAGCCTTCCACTCTCAAAAGTTAAGCAATTGATTTTTAAAATCCTAATCAAACACTTTTTTATTGTTTTCTTTTAAAGTAAAGTATAAAAGTTAGAAAAATAGACAGCCAAACATGCTCTTAGTATTGTAATTTCACTAGAAAAGATAAATACTAATACTAAAATTTAAATAACTAATTTCTTAATTTCATGAAAAATACTTTCTTGCTTATCTCATTTATATGATAATAATTTAACAATTTAGCTTAGTACACCTGAAACTAAGAAGTTCTGAAAAATAATTTTTTTTTTAGCAATTTAGCATGGTACACTTAAAACTAAGTTCGCATAAATAAAAAAAATAAAAAAATCAAGATTAATAGTAATGAGGTCTGTGATATTGGTATGGATATCATTTGTGAACTACCCGTCGGTCATTGTGTAACCTAACGTTCGTTGTTTGATTTTGACTCTTTTTTTCTTCTCTCCTTCTAATTCTTCTCTCTTCCTACATCAAAGTAGACATTGAGAGTGTGCCCTTCCCAGTGCAACTGTTTTGACTTTGAAGTGCATAGAGACCAGGATAAAGATAATAACTGTTCATGATGTTCACTGAAGTAGGGTCATGCAATAGCCAATTATAACTTGTTAGGTATTCATGATATGCCGTTGATTGTAGAAAGCAAATTAGTGCATTTCCCCCCCCATCTGTACATAAGGAGAATCATCCACCTCTGTTACACAGGACGCATTTATTTTCTCTAAGAAAAAGGATCTTTTGTTCTGGCCTTGGCACTGGCAGCATTTTTCCCTGCTGAGAAGGTTGAGCTCATATATATTAAGAAATTAGTGTTGTAAAATGTTTGGCAAGTTTATTGGAGTTTTGACTCTCCTGGATGTGCCATGGCCATTATTGTCACTTTCATTATCATGCTGTCCTGTACATGGAAACTTATCACATTATGATTCAGTCTTGTAGAACAAAATTATCAAAGGCAGATCTTGCATCACAATGGGTTGTCATATGATGCATGTGTATGAATACATATATAGCTACAATGAATGTGCAGTGGCTTCTTGATTATTAAAAACTCTTAATTGCTATCAGCTAAATTTGGTTGTTTGGATTTACAAAAGAGCTGTTCTGTAATCAGTATGCCTACAGTAATAGATAATTGTGTTGCAGGAAAGATGTGCTGCTGCTGATACCATATCTCTTGTTGCTCAAATATTACACAGATCTAAAACCCATCTTCAGTCAATGCTTCTTCAGAATAATCCAGCTATAGTGGAAGACTTTTTTGTCCTTGTGGTATATTTCCTTGTTTCTGTATTTTTGAGCATTTTTATTAGCCATAATTTTTTGAAATCTTTCGAAAATTATTTTGATACTGTATTAATGAGCTGTTAAATTGGATATTCGGAATCATATATTTTGACATTATTATATGCTGTAGGAGAAAAGGATGCTAGTATGAAATATGTTTGTCTGGGTATTATTCCATGTTCTAATATAGCTGGAAAACCATCTGAATTTCAGAAAGTAAATTAATTTTGAAATTGAATACTAGAGCCTGGGAGTTTACTTATTTATCCATGTGTGCACCACGTTCAGATGGTTCCAGTTGCTAGGTTGTATTGGGTTAGGTCAATGAAAAGGAAATGAATGATGGTTGAGTGGAAGCATCTAAATTTTGAGATTGTTGTTGGTTAAGAGAGAGGGAGGACTTGATCGCCCCCCAATAACCTTCATTTCTTACCATAAAACTTGCCCGTTACTTGAATAGGCATGCTCTTTCTATTCTCTTTTCATCTATTCAACCCTCTAATAAGTGAAGTTGTCCTATGACAAAGTTTGGACAATCATATATACCTGTTTACTAAACTTCAGGGGTAATCTTTCCTTATAAGTTGTTTTTTTTATATGGTTTTTACATGAACTATGTTCTTATTTCGGTCCTTAATTTAGAAATAGATATTTTCATTCCTTTTATATTGACAAGTAAGTTATTTTTTTTATCAGGTGGACTCTGTACCAGATGTTATAGAGCACTTACACCGGACCACTGCAAGATTACTTCTTCACATTAACGGGTAAGTTTAGAACTGAATAATGTTGATCGAACCCTTCTGTATTAATTAAATCATCGGATGTTCTTGTGGATTAATGAGCTGAATAATTTTAATGAAGCCCTATTGGATGCCCAAAGCCATTTCCAACAGCATTTCTCGTTGCGGATGATAACTTGTGACTTTTATGTTTATTTAAGATACATTTGATGGAACTGCTAATCTGTGTCAACTGCTCAAAGGTTCTTTAGAGCAGCCTTTTTAATGGCAAGTTAATTCCTATATCAAATGAAGTCAAATAACAATAATACAAGCAACCTTACTAGCACTTGAAACTTGAAAATAACATAAAATGGAAACAGCCTGCTTCCACTTAAATAAAAATCACAGCTTGTGAATGGATCATGAGTCAAATTTTGGAGACAAGCGAAGCATGATGCAGGATAATGTGCAAAGAAAACCTATTTACGGGGCATGAAAGTTTCAGCTGGGAGAAGTTGGCATAACTATCATATTTAATATATTTGGTAATTAGATAAAACGTTCATAATCAGAAATGGAAGCTGTAGTCTTGAAACTCAAACAAAGCAAATTTCTTTAACCGGATTTGAGACAACAAAATTCTGACTTTAATAAACTCAGCTATAGGAGGACTTGCAGCATCAAATGGGTGAGCTGTGAAAACATGAAGCAAATGCAGATTTTAATCGCTTTATCTGTGATAGGGATTGTTTACAAAAAATGTTAGTTATTTGTCAGGTTGAAGACATCCTGGTAACTGTACCTAGATAAAACAACTAATCTTGATTTCACTGCATGCTTAAGAAACCTTCAACTTGCTGGTTTTGTATGCCTGCTTGTATACCAGATGATCAGTTTCCCAAGCAAAATACAATCAAAACTCAAGATTCCACTGGATTCTTCATTACCTTTCAGTCAAAAATCTTGTTTGGTTCATTGCTACCATCTTTGATGCAAAGCACTTTTTAGCAGGTATGTTGATCGGATAGCTAATGCTAAGTGGGAAGTAAAAGAGCTTGGTCTAGAGCATAATGGGTATGTTTCATCCTCTCCTTTTTTACTATAATTATATGCTTGTTTATATTGTTCGAGCATGTTGTAACTTCCATGCTTTTAATGACCTAGATATCATCTATCTCTTTTGTAATTTTTCCATTAAAACTGTGTGTTGAGTGTGTTAATTTCATAAATCAAAGGTAAGTTAGCTTGCAACATTTTCTAATCATGTTAAAAAAAATATACTTCTTACAATTTTCCTCTTTTTTTTTTTAATAATATTTGTACTGCATTCTGTGCTATTAATTGAAGTTTTTGATTCACTGGCCTGCTCACCTACTCTGGTTGGCTTAGGGTGAAGTTTTTGTATGATAATAAAACGTTACTTTGGAGCTTTTTTTGGTCATGACCTTGGTCCTTGCTTCCTGTGCTATGTCCTCTGTGACACCCCCTCCCCCCACTTTAGCTTGACCCATGTTAATTAATGGAACTAGATATTTGTGGACTACATGATATCTCTTACAATTCTTTAATAGGTACTGAGCATATTTTTACAACAATTATCCATCAGAATATACTGCTATCACTTTATAATCCCTCCCATTCGAGTTATATTGACAGGTATGTTGATTTACTTTTGGGAGAGTTTAAGCACTATAAAACGAGGCTTGCACATGGTGGAATTCACAAAGAGGTAATGGCTGGTTCACATCTCAGGAGGAGCAGCATTTTGTAAAATTTTGAATACAGAATTTACAACTTGATGCTCATCATTTTGTAAAAGATGTTGATGTTTTACATTCTGGATAATACACGAGCACTTTGAATAAATTTGTATGTGCACATATGCCGATAAATAAATGGGTTTCTTAGGCTGGCTAATTTACTAGTAGTAAACACTTGGTTAACAATCCTCCCAATCATTGGCCTTACCTCATCATAAATGGCATAATTTTGTTGTATTATTTTGCTCTAAAAATCCTGTGATTATACCAAGGAGGAAACAAATATCGAAATATCTAAAAATGAAAAGCATGCAAGTCATGGATGTTTAATGTGAACTTCACGAATGTTTGCTGTGAGTTGAAATGTATGAATGAAGAGCAGTTCAAAAAACATTTCAGTACTACTCTTTCCAAGGCAACAGATGAGGGATAGAATAATCTACTTGTGGTCTTCAGTCTTCTACTTTAGGGGCAGTTAGAGGGGTGTCTTTAGAGCAATTATTTTGTGGGACTACCGTACTTTCTTTTTTGTTTTTTTATGTTTTTGCTTTCTTCCTCTGTACTTTTCTACATCTTGTCTCGGAGGACTTCTGTATTATTTTCTTCTCGTAATCCAATAATATCTTCATTTATATTATTTTGCTAATAGCTTCCGCCTGCCTGGTTATGATTCTGTTCTAATTTTGTACTAATAAACATGTTTCTCATGTCCCAAAACTTGAACAACAAACTAGTCTAAACTATATTTCTATCTTCATAGGCACAAGACCGTCTTTCAGAATATGGTGTTGAAATCGTCGCTGAAACCCTCATAGAAGGTCTATCACGGGTGAAGAGGTGTAGTGATGAAGGACGAGCTCTTATGTCATTAGATCTTCAGGTTCTTTCAAAACTCCAACAGGAATTTATATTTTTCAAGATTTCCATTTTGCCTCTAGCTCCTTTTGCACCTCTCAAGAATTGATAATTTAAGTGCTATCTAAATTCCTTTCAGGTTTTGATCAATGGCCTCCAGCATTTTGTCCCCATAAATGTTAAGCCAAAATTACAAATGGTTGAAACTTTCATTAAGGTAAGAATTAGCGTGTTCAATGAGACAATTTCTTAAAAACATGTGAAGATATTGGAGGAGAAATGATTAGTAGTGATCTTTGAGCCTTGAGGCTTGCTTGGTCAACCCATCTTCCTTGGTTCTTGGATACTCGTTTCACTTAGAAATGCCTGGTGAACATTTTCACTATCAAGATTATTAATTGGAATTTTCATTCTCTCGACCCGTACAGGCCTACTACCTTCCAGAAACCGAGTATGTACACTGGGCTCGTGCTCACCCGGTAAGAAAATTCTGCACTGGAACCGAGGAATTGTTTTATTGTTCTTAACATGCTCAACACCTATTTCAACCTATCTTTTAATAATACAACTACACTTTTCCTCGCAGGAATACACTAAAAATCAAATTGTTGGGTTGATCAATCTCGTTGCTGCAATGAAAGGTTGGAAGAGAAAAACCAGGTTGGAAGTGATCGAGAAAATTGAGTGAGCTGTGACTTGAGACAGTCATGTTAGTGTTTTGGGTATATAAAATCCTGCACTCCACTAATATATATGTTTTTTATAACATGAATGGTGTATATTGCATATTATTCCCCTGCTTCTTGATTATGTTAGGTTGTATATCTTGTAATACATGGTTTTCCCAATGGGGGAATATCAAATGTAATTTTGGATCACATTATACGGCCAATAATGAATTCGTGGGTAGATTTTATTTCAATTACTCATGGCTGCAAATATTATGATCGAGGTGCCCATTTGTAACTGATCAAGAACAAAAGAACGTTTGAGAATTAAAGATTTGCAAAACCATTAGGTCTTTTTTGGAGTCTTTTCTGGTTCGCGTTTTGCTGATTTTATTTTATTCTAATTTTCATAGCCCTCTAATGAACGGGAAAATGGCTTGCTTTGCCACGCAAGGCATATCCGTGGTTAATGGTTTTTCATTTGTTATTGCCAGTGTCTGAAATCAAGATAATAGCGTCCTTTTCTTGCTTTTCCTCTTACCTGTTGCATCATGCTGTGCAATTTGACCACTCCTGAACCATTTTGCTGTACGGTAGAAAGAACCCGCCAGGAATAGTTTGTTCGCAGCTCATCATAGCTCACTGTAATTTTCATGCACCGTATTTTATTAGAGGATGTTTTTTCCAGTTATCAGGGCGTCTGTATTTCCTAACCCCGACAATGACAAATGACTCAGCTAAGTTGACCTCTTCAATACAGATAGTAGTACTACGATAAAATTGAAGATAAAAATTAGTGTGAACTAGAAATCGCCGAGAGAGAGAGAGAGAGAGAGAGAGAGAGTGAGGAAATGGTGGAAAGTGGCTTCCTCTTGGCCTTATATTGGCACCACCTCTCGGCGTTCTTCTCTCACGTGGCCTTGTAAAGGCAACAGTCCTTTGCGTGCTCATAAGCCAACCCCTAGGCTTCTAGGCTTGAGCCCCATCACGTGGTCACAACACTAGGCAAACCATTATAATGAAACACCTAGACAAGCAAGACAATAAGATAATTGAAAGGTTAATAAATAATGATTGGGTGATGCACGTTTAAAGCCTCACAAGGATCACCCCAACCATACACGAACAGGGTAAAAGAGTGCTATGAGAAGCACTTCACCTTTGTTGTGAAACAAGGAATGGCTGTTAGACAAACCATCAAGACTAGGGAAGGGGGTGGCTGATGGCTCGGGGGTCTATACCCTCGATCATATGGTCCATGTACTATTTCTCAAGACAAGGCTAGGATGAGATCGTCAAAGTCTTGATGGCCTAACTAGTCCGTATAATCTTAATCATTTAGGACACAAGATGTTTATAGAGCCTAACAAGACCTTCAATGAGTAGATGCACCCCCAAGCCAATCACTACCCTAGATGCATTGCCCTCTTTGCATATTCAATCTACTACATGTATTATAAGAAGGCATATCTGTGGTCATGTCTACTTTAAAGATTGATCTTACAAACCCTAAAAAACCTTTATAGAAGTCAATTGTTACTCGGAGTCTTTTTCTTTATGGAGTCCAAAACTATAGACTGCTAGTACATTGACCATCATATCCTTATATGGATACATTCACATAAGTTCAAAGCTATCTAAATAATCTTGAACTCCAAGGTGAGGAATCATCTTCTTCACAAGAATATATATTTTTTCTCTTACGCTATGTAACACAATCTTCTTTATTTCATAAAAATCATATTGTTATGTTGATAATTGGTTTAAGTAAATGTAATTTGTATAATATAAAGACTAAAGATTAGATTAGTACTAAGTGACATAATGAAGTTATCGAAATATATATAAGCACAAACATAAAAAATATAGAATAACTTTACAAGTTTAAAGATTACAACGATAGCTTTATAGACAAGACATAGATTAATTAATTGTATATAAAATATCTTGAATAAATTATTTAGTATACTTGTTGAAGCACTTAAAATTTAAAAGAAATGTATATTATGTTGTTGTCAATGGTTGTAACCTTTGTTCTTAAAACTTTATAGCTTGTTATTTGGTATAAATGAGTTGATTGCAATAAGTTTTCTAGAATTTTAACACCATTACCATGATTAATTGCACTACAAATCAAATTCTACAAACTAGAAAGAAATACTAAAAAAATCTCTCTATGAAAAACTTGAATTTAAGTTCTAGAATGATTAAAGAAAATCAGAGCATGAAAATGCTGAAAGAAATAAAGGATCGGAAGGCAAAAAGGTTATTACATGGTATTCAAACTTCTTCCATTTAAGCCCATTTTATACTTACAAAATTGACGCATAATTAATTTTGATAATTAATAGAAATAATTCTAACTATTATGCTTTTAATACTCATAATAAAAATTAAATTCTAACAATTTTTTATTATAAAAACAAGATATTTCTCCTTTAAAAATAAACCATTTAAAAAAAGAAATAATAATATTCAAACTGTTTATGAATACCAAGCCTAAGCCTCAAGTCTAAGTAGTGTTGAGTGAGTATGTGTGCAACTTAAACCTAAAGTCCACTTAGTTTAGGGTCTCCCCCATGTTCCATGAGATTAATTTGAAGTCTTTTACTTTCCATTGTATAATCTATAAGGAAATCTTATAATCATTGAAGGTTTTTGAGTTTATCGAGCATGTTAACGAGTTCAATTTGTCATTAAATTATAATTTATTTTACGCATATTAATATTCAAGTTACAGTATTTTTATTGAAAAATATTTTTTTAATAAAATGTTAACCTAAAAAGTGAATGGATGTCACTTTTCACTTTTAATTTGTATTAATTTGTGTCCATTAACTATATTTTTTGAAACAAATTTCTAACACTTCTGATATGGGTCGAGAGACATTTATCAAATCTGTTGCTTCTAGCTATTCCTATATTCCTGCATATTTTATGAGATGTTTAGAATTTCCTAAAGGGATTTGCAAGGAGATCAATTATCTCATATATAAGTTCTGGCAGGGCTGAAAAGGGGATGAACGAAAGATTCACTAGATTAGCTGGTTAGATTTATGTGAAAAGAAAAGGTTAGGTGGCCTGGGTTTTTGATACTTGGAAGCCTTCAATCTAGCTGTCAGTGAAGCATGGTCAGAGGCAGCTATGCCATGGTCCCTTCTCCCATTTCTATAATTTCCTGCATGCTGCTAGTTCCTCTTCTTCATCACGGGCTAGGAAAAGTATTCCAACGGGAAAATATATTTTACGATGTGGAATTAGATGGAGAATTGGTCAAGAATGTGCTATCACCTACCTATCTAATCCTTAGATTCCTTCACAATATCCTTTTCTTCTTTCCATCAAATCTGACGCTCTAGCTGATGTTCATCGGGTTTCCTAGCTTTTCCATGATCTTTCACATTCATGGAATGAACCTTTCGTACGAAAAATGTTTTCAGAATCTTATGTGAGGGCTGTTCTATGTGTTTCCTTGAGTACTCCTGACACTCATGATAATCTGCACTTGTATCACTCGTAGAATGCAAGGTTCTCTGTGAAGTTACACTGGAGGCTGGAGGGAGTTCTTAAAAGCCTGAAAGGAAGTCTTTATCTGGGCCAAAAGGCCCAAAGCCTAGAGTGCTGTCCGGTCAAAAAGTTGGGAACTACACCGTAATTTTAAAAGAAGAAGCCTGAACAGTGTTCAGGCTAGCTATAGTAAAACAGAGCCCGAACAACAAATTGGAAAAGAGAAGACTGGAAAGCAAAAAACGAAGGCAAGCATAAAATCCAGCGAGGAAAAGAGTAAAAAAAGCGAGAACAGAGAAAACGAATCAGAGCTTATCAAAGCTCCGATGGCAATTTGCGCCATATTATTATAAAGAGTTCACTGACACAGAGACAAATATAACTACACTACATAAGACAATCTACATGTGCCAGCTAAATTTTCCTTTCTTCCTTCATTTCAGCCCTTCATTCTTCAATAACTCTCCACTTTAGTCCTCTAATTTACTTGACCAAACCACATGCAAGGTTGAGAGGGAGAAAAGAAAGGAGAAAATAATAAAAATATATTGTTATGCATGTGCTCTCATTGCCCAGACATTTGTCACATTTATTTTGCAAAAAATATGGACACATAACTTCTTAGTACATGCCATGCAACCATCCGCTGGATACACAATAATCACTTAAAAGTTTAGTTTATTTGGTAGTATGGTTATAATTATTTTTTAAATAATTTTATATATTAAAATTATATAAAAATAATTTTTTTATGTTTTAAAAATTATTTTTGACATCAATATATCAAAATAATTTAAAAACACTAAAAATATATTAATTTAAAGTAAATAAAAAATAATTTTTTTAAAAAATACTTTTAAAATACAAAAATAAATAAACTCTCCATTGTTGTAGAGGTATCAATAAGGGCACACAAATTGTAGGTATGGGAGTTTACTTATCCTGCCAATGGTGAGTATATGTCCACTTATTTTACTATGAATACTTATCTTTCTTATTACTAGTTAGTACAATGCCAGTTTTTTAAGTGTGATGCTGATACAACTTGTTTTTATAAGTTATTTATATGATAAAAATAATTATTTTTCATAATTATTCTCACATGATACAATTTCTATTTTCATAAGACACATGATACAATTTCTATTTTCATAAGACAATTTCAACAGGCCATAACATACACACTTTTCTTCACTGTTTTTTTTGTTGTTATATATTATTTTTCTCTCATAATTTATCAATTTAGATTTTATATTCTAATAAATAACTTATTTTATAGAAGTTTAAGACTAGTTTATTTTAATTTTTCTTAATTTTAACTTTTTCATCAAACAACTCAGTTTAAAGACGAATTTGATAGTATATTTTTATAAGAAAGAAAGGAAAAGAATTCCTACTAAGTCAAATCCTTGCTCCTTGAGTCAATTTTAAAATATAATTTTTTTTTAATTAATGTTGATATTTGAGCTACTTTACACATATCTCAATTATTTTTAAAGATTTTAAAATTAATTATCATTCATAGGATATTTAAACTCTTAACTATTAAAAAATAATTTCAAGATCTTTTTATTTGAGCTACCCCTCAAGATTATTACAACATGAATTCTTTTTTTTTTTAGATTAACGTGGGTGTCCGGGCCAGCTTACGCGCATCCACGACTAATCCCACGGGCCCTGAAGTTAAGGACCATGTAAGCCTCCAGTGGCCATCATATGAGCAACTAAGGACTCGAACCTGAGACCATAGAGGAAGCAAACCCCTTGATCCCAAGTCCTTACCATTTGGCCACCACCTAGATGGTTAATTACAACATGAATTCTTTTTTTTTTTTTTTTTTTTTTCCCTAGGTCAAGC